GGTTTGTCACTTCCATTCATCTTTCTTTCCTGCCCCTTCCCGCCTTCTGAGTTTTATTCCTGGGCACACGCTGCCCTTTTGATCACATGTGGTTGTTTGTCCTAAGGAGTGTACCTTGCTGGGGTTACTGTTCACCTTATAGGCCTGTTGTTTGCCTGAAAGTTGAGCCATGGGGGTGAGTTCAGTTCCCAGCTTAGAGAGTGTCCAAGGGCCATAGTCTCAGGGGCTCCACCAGTCAGTCTCTATCAGGCTAGTGAGCCCAGTCTTCTTTACGATTTTGGGTTTTGTTCCACATTTTTCTCCCACTCTATCCAGGACCTCCTATTGTGATTTCTTTCAGAGTGGTCAGCACTGGTAGCTGGGCACCATCTAGTTCTTCTGCTCTCAGGGTCGTGGAGGCTGAAGATCCCGTGGTCAATCAGTCCTTTGGACAACATGTTTCTTTGTGTCTTTTACTGTCTTTACTTTCTTTGTCTTTTGCAATGGGCAAAACTAAGAGTTGCACCTTAGATGGCTGTTCTCTGGCTTTTCAGACTCCAGTCACTACTCACCCAAGTAGGATGTAGAACATTGTTTGAAGACTGTATCATACCAGTTGACCTGGATGTCCCCTGAGTCATCCTGAATAAGACATTTTTCTGTATGTTACTGATCAGCACAAAATGTTAAACATCAAGGGCAATAATGTCAAACAAGCTCCTGAAAATAGTAGAATCACCTAAACTCCTGCCGTCTAAGAAAGAAATAGCACGCGGGCTTTTGAATGTTTTCCAGCTAGCACGTCTGGAGATGTGGCTTCCGAGCCAGAGTCAAACAGAAAGAGCAAAGAAGTGGAGTGAGGGAGGAAGGGCACGTAGGCAGAGTGCAGCCAGACGTACTTTCAGAGCAAGCGAGCGAGCTGTGACGATGTGGGGACGCCCTTTAAGTTTATATCCTCGGTTTATTCTTCATTCTCTTAACAGGATATGGTGCAAGGAATACTCACTGAAAATGTATCCACTTATTGTCTTAGGGTTCACCAGAGAAACAACCAGTCACACACACAGTTACACACCCACAGACATATTTATTGTAAGGAAGTGCCTCACACTGTGGGAGTTGGCAACTCCACACTCTGTAGTTCAGGCAACAGGGTGGAGGGTCTGGAATCTGGTGTCCAAGGCGGTCGGTCAGGCAGTGGGCTGGAAATCCCGGCAGGATGTCTGCGTGACTGTCTGCAGGCAGAACTCCCTCCCTCAGGAAACCTCCGTTTTTGCACTGTAGGCCCACCCATATTAGAGAGTGTAATTTAGAGTCCACTGGTTTAAACATTAATCCATGTAAATACCTTCACAGCAACACCTAGAGTTTGACTGAACAGCGAGGCACCACATGTGGACATACAGAATGAACCATCACGGGGCTATCCCTGAGGCACAGTGAGGGCTTGATGGCCCCTGCTAGAGTAGCGCCTAAGGCATCTGACTGGTAACCAGAAGGCTAGCGGTTCAAACCCACCAGCCACTCCTAGGAAGGAAGGTTGGACAATCTACTTCGGTAGTGATACTGCCTCGGAAACCCCAGGAGGGGTTGCTGTGAGTTGAAATCGGCTCGATGGCAGTGAGTTTGGCTTATTTTTTTTCCGACGGTCATGACAGGCACAGAATGTTACTTGGACAAAGTGGGGCCTACACAAACGTTCCCTGAACTCACCAAAGCCAGCGACCTGGCACCAAACCAGTGAAGGTGGGCCAGGCAGCAGGCACCATGGCTTCCCCGTTGTCCGGGACAGGTGCTACACATGGAGGAGCCAAGGCTCTTGCCAGCCCAGCCCAGAGCCCCTTCCTCCAATCTCTGCTGTACCCCGAGTGAGTGAGGTGATGTGCAGGTCCCTGGCTTTCCAGGGAGCTGCTGCCCTTGGGCCCCTGCTCCTCCAGGGTGGACGTCACTGACCCTAAGTAAAAACTGAAAAGAAGTCCCTGTGGAAGGAAGGGCCAGGCACTGGGTCTGCCTGTCCTGTCAGCTGCTCTCTGTCCTGCAGGCGGATTCCCTTGGAAGAAGTCCCGGAGGATGAGGACAAGTGCGCCACCTGGCTCCACAAACTCTACCAGGAGAAGGTCAGTGCAGGGAGGGGCGCTCTGAGTGGGGGCCGCCCCTGCGGGATTTACAGGCCCCCTCCCTCTGCCCTGGCGCCTGGTGGTGAAGTGCTTGGCTGCTAACAGGCTGCCAATTTGAACCCACCCAGCAGCCCTGCTCAAAAAAGACCTAGTGATGTGCTCCCTTGAAGATTACAGGCACGTGAAGCCCGTGGGCAGTTGTCCGCGACCACGTGGGGTCGCCATGGGTCGGAATCGACTGGAGGACATAGAACACCTAGGGACGCGCTGTGGACTTGGCTTTCAGGGCGGCCGGTCCCGGGTGTTCGCAGCCATGACGTGGCCCACAGCTACAGCCCGTTCTAGGGCTGGCGCGCCACTTGGCGGAAGGGAACCGAAACAACCTAAACCCACTGGCATCCAGTCAGTTCTGCCTCATAGCGACCCCCATTGGGTTTCCGAGGAGGGGAGGCTTTACCGAAGTAGACGCCCATCTTCCTTCCGCTGAGTGGCTGGTGGGTTTGAACCGCCAACCTTCCGGTTAGCAGTCAAGTGCCTTAGGCACTGCGCCACCAGAGCTCCTTAACGGAAAAGAAGGCAGCCAAGTGTCCTTTAAAGGGGTGTGGAAAAGGCATCAAGTGTTTTGCGGGTGTGGAGGGCCAGACCGGAAGTACCAGCCCGCAGGCCTGCCCCCAGTCCCCGGCCTCCGTCGTAAGGCGCAGTGGCCCAGTGGGTGCGGCGGAGTGCAGAGCGGCCCGCCTGTCTCTGGCGTCCCCTCGGGGCGGGAGGGCCCTGTGCCCGCGTCCCTGTGCTGCGTGCCGCGCGGGCTCCAAGGGCCCTTCTCTGTCCCCAGGACGCCTTCCAGGAGGAGTACCAGCGGAGGGGCGTCTTCCCCGAGACCCCCATGGTGCCGCCGCGGCGGCCCTGGACGCTGCTCAACTGGCTTTTCTGGGCCTCGCTGCTTCTGTACCCCTTCTTCCGGTTCCTGGTCAGCATGGTGAGCAGCGGGTCCTCCCTGACGCTGGCCAGCTTCGTCCTCGTCTTCTTCGTAGGTAAGCGGGCCGCGGGCAGGGCTGCCGTCTGTGCCGGGAAAAGCTAGACCCCAGGACGCAGGGCAAACGCGGGCAACGCGTCCCCCGGCCCTGCAGGTGGCAGTGCGGCGCTGCTCCTGCCTCGTGCTGGGACCCCGGTCCTCCCAGGCCCCTGGCAGCTCTGCCCATCATCCGGGTTTCCTGCTCATCCTGAGGAAGAGCGGCCTTCTGGGAGGAAGGCAGGCCCTCGGCTCGGCAGCGACTCACAGGCCGAGCAGCTCCTGGCCCCGGGAGCTGCGCACTCGTCTCCCCGCCGGCTGCCCCTGGGTGGTCCCGTCCGGCCCTTTCTCCCATGAATTCCCACTGGCTGTCGGGCCAGTCATTTCAAACAGCTCATGTTTCTTTATGGCACACAGCTTCCGTGCGCCTTGCTGAGTTTTTTTCAAGTGGGGAAGCCTGGAATCATTGCTCAGCTTCCGACCCCACCCGTGGAGGAACCTTGCGAGGGTCCCAATGTGACAGGCAGCCCCCGCAGGCCCTTCCCGGGAGTCTGCAGAATCCGAGCCTGAAGTGCTTTTCTGAGGCGAGGAGGGAGCCATGTCATCCAAGGCCTGTGGCCCCCTCTGTGCTGCACTCAGGTGGACCCATCTCTGCGCACCGCACCCAGACGATGTCAGTGTACGGAACCGTCACGTCTCTCGGCCACATTCCCCCTTTGGCGCCTCCTAACAGCTTGGCGCCTGCTCTTCTGGCCTCATATATGTTCCCTGTAGCAATCCATCTGAAGCTTTGGTGGCATAGTGCCTAAGGCATTTGGCTGCTAACCAGAAGGTTGGTGGTTCAAACCCAACAGCCACTCTGCAGAAGGAAGACAGGCAGGTCTACTTCTGTAAAGATTTACGGCCTAGGGAACCGAAAAGGGGTCACTATGAGTCGGAACCAACCTGATGGTAGTGAGATTTTTTTTTTTTTTTTTTTTGAGTTCACACACAGGACTTTGTCTTCTTGTCACCTAAAACATCATGGCTGCCTGAACACATCACACACAACATAAACCCAGCCTGTTCTTCTGGATCAAAGCAGCCACCTAGACAACTGGGTCACAGCAGGCAACCCTGTGCCTGGTGCCTACAAGACACTCCTGCGGTCAGGTTTAAAGTTAAGAAACATGGTTCAATGTTACAAAAAATATTAAACTCAAACTCACTCCTGTAGGGAAACAAAGAAAGAATTAAGAAGAGAAGAAACCATCTCCATTTAAAAATTTCACTCTGCCGGACTGGGGGCCTGGCACTGTCCCGAGTGTAGTGTCACCTAGGCAGGAGGGGACCCTGGGCAGGAAGGCGGATGGAGACCAGTGCCCTCCTGGAGCACCTATAGCTCCTTAGAGACCAGGGAGGTGGGGACCAGGCCTGCCCAGGCGTGTACTGAGAGCCAGACCCTGAGCACTGGGCCCAAGAGATGCAGGTAACACCTCCAGAGACCCACTGCCTGGTCCCCAAGCCCCGCAGACCGCTCGCCTCCTGAAAGGCTGACATCTTACCATTGGTTACTGCACGGCTGCACCTCGTTCCTCTTAGTGGCCTGGGAGGAGTGGAGGCCAGACCTCGCCTCTATTCTCGACATTGTCCCCGTGTCCTCGGAGTCACTCCATGGAAGTTCTCTCGGGGCAGCTGCTAGGCTCTAAGTCATTTCAAGGTTGTGGCCCCAAGCAGTGCACCCGTCTGTACATGACGGAAGGGGTGTGGGGTCTTGTGCTGGCCAGGCGCTGCTCCATCTGAAACCTGAGGGCAGTTTACAGGCCCCAACTCTGACATTTTGTCAGCATGTGTGTCCAGCATGCTGGGGCTGGGGGTGTTCACTCAGCCACCTACTCATTCTTGAACATTCACCGTAAGCCGGCTCTTTGCCAGTTATAGTGGCCAGTCCTGGGTGCAATAGGCCAAAGATGTGGTTACTGCACCCCGAAGCTTGCCAGAGAGGCCCCCCCTCCCCACCAAAAGCAGCTCATTGCCGGTTCTGGGCATCAGGCCCTGAGCCTCAGCTCCCCAGTGGGGACCCTGCGCTCACGTGGAGAACAGGCTGACGGTGAGGCAGGGACCGCACACAGCCCAGGGACGCTGGCAGCCAAGCAGCCAGGGCACATGCTGGGCACCAAGTGAACGTGCTCCCGCACCACGTTCTCTTCCAGGATGGGGGGCTGGGAGGCACCTCCGCGTCCACAGAAGACACCTCTGAGCCTCGGGGGCGGGCCGAGCAATGTTCCGGGTTTTCCCGTACAGCTGGCCACTCTGTTCACCTCTGTGTGTTGAAGGTTAAACGCCCAGCACAACGGCCTCGCTCTGTTCGTGTTCATGCCCCTTGTCCACCACGTCCCCGGGGTGACAGGCATGTGATTTCAGTGGCTGCCTCCTAACGCCATGCTGTTCCCATTTCCTGTTTCCGCAGCATCCGTGGGCGTGCGATGGATGATTGGCGTGACTGAGATTGACAAGGGCTCTGCCTACGGTAATGCTGACAACAAGCAAAAACCATGACTGATAAGGCACCTGGCCTCCAGAGGGACCTTGGGGACTGGTGGCTGTGCGTGCATCTGCTTGTAGGGCGCGGTGACATGGCCGGGCCGGCCTCAACTGGGAAGAGCCACCTGAGGACCTCGAGCAGGGTCTGGTCTCACAGCCCAAGGGGAGCAGGATGTCCCATCTTTTGTCCCCACTTGCATTAGTGGGTTTTGGTTTTCTCCCTTTTCCTGTGCGTGTGTGCACATTGGCGGGAGTGAATGTGTGCCGCGTGTGAGCCTCGTTTAGGGATTTAGGCCGCAGGGGGAGGGAAGGGACAGGGGAGAGGGAAAGCGTTCCCTTTCGTCCCTGGTGCTGAGTTTCTGTAACCCTTGACTGCCAGAAACAGAGCGAGAAGCACGCTTTAGGTAACGTGACGAAACTGCGCGTCCAAAAATTAAAGTCTTTGTCTGGCTCACCTCTGGTGTGTTTACACAGACCGTCCATCTCACCGTGTCTGTGTGTGTGTGTTGTGTGTGTTGGGGGGGTGTAACTGACAGCCACCATGGAGAGAGCAGCCAGGTGTGTGTGTGTGCATGTGTCGGGGG